GTGGATTTAAATAGATTTATATTGGAATTAAAATTGTGGTGAAGTATATTATGAGAATTGAATTATATTAACAATAAACACATGCTAAATATGAAAAAATATATTATCTTGATATTTATAAATTTTCATTATTTTAGTGTTAATGTTCTTGATATCTTCTTAGTTAAACGTATTTGCCAATATTTACATTAAAATTGTTAGAGATACTTTAATTATTAATTTAGGATCTTTTTGTTTTATTTTTAGAAGCTTTCTAATAAATTAAATGAATTATTTATAAATTTTTTATATCAGATTATTAAAGAGAAATAGCCTTACTAAGATCACATTATAAAATTTTTAAGATTTTAATTTTCTCAACATTAACCTAAAATTATATTATTAATTTGAGCATTAATTATGTCAAAATTACAAATGGTTTAATGCTTGTAACGCATTTCAATTCAAACTCAAATGCATTGAGAGATTAATTCTAAAAAACCTTGACATTTTCAAAAACGATTTTAATCAAAGCCCAAATACATCAATAAGACTTTAAATGCTCATTGAAACCATATTTTTTAATTTTGTAAACCCTTTGCATTTATAAAAATAAATAAAACAATATACATAGTTCATCATTAATATTTTTCACCTACCACTTCTTATATTTATTAAAATTTTATTATTTAGCTTAATTGCTCTCCTCACTTAATCATCTCTTAAGGTTTAACCCAAATCTACATTGTGAATTTTCTAGTTGAAGTACAATTCAATTTAACTAAAGCTACTTTAATAAACAATAGGCTGAAGTTTTCAATTTAAAAATTTACTTTCAATATTATCTTACTAATATCCCATCACTAAGATAGTATTCATTGAATTCATAAATATTCTCATTTCTTTGTAGGTTGGTGTAATTCTAATTCTATCATGGTTTAACTTTTATTGTTTGATGCTTCAATAAGTATTGAAGGATGAAAATTCTCTTATTATTAATCTGAACTAATTCTTTATAGATTAAACCTTTTTAACTACCCTCTTTCTTTACATCCCTTTCAGATTTTGAAGGACATCACTTCATTTAAATTTTTAATATTTAATTCATCTACCTATGATTTGAGTCTCTGCAATTACTCTAGTTATTAGGAATAATTCATCAACCATTTAATTAATGTTTGTTTTTATAAAGTTATCTTTAGAAAGTCATTTGAAAGATTCCTTTTTAATTACTGATCATCAACTCTTAGAAACTCAAGCATATGTAAGTAATTAGTGTTTAAATTCAGAATAGTTAATTAGTATAAAATTTGAAATTGGTCATTTCTTACATTTAGCATAGTGTATATACCCATTCCATTTACTCTTGATGACTTGCATATATCTATATCTTCTTCATATAATTTGTGTAAAAATTCCTATTGTGATATAACCTAACATGATTTAGTTCATAATCATCAAGGTGAACATGATAAGTTTTATCTTGAGTCTGGGGTTTTTAAATGAAGAGAGGTGTCTAATATGGAAATCCAGTCAGAATTCTAAGTTTTTCCCTAAGTTTCTCTGTGATCACACTATTCCTTCCTATCTAGGAAGGAGTCGACAATGCTTTTGACCATTCCCTCTCTGTTGGGTGCAAGATCCATAATTTTGAGCTTCCCAAGGATCTATTCATCTAAGCATTGAGTGATTAGAATACTCATATAGTGCTAGCAAACCTTCTACTTTCTCTGGTTTGAACCTCTTCAAGCGAGGTCTTTTAG